TTGTATTTCAAAAGATATAATATGCGTGCAGAAAAATCAGGAAAATGTAACTAACTTTATAATGTAAAGGCAATAATCTAAAAACTCGACACTTGAAGGTTGTAATCCTATTTAAACAAGAAAATAACAAGCAAGCTTCAGTGGGGTGCTCGCCGAAGCTAAGTACAGTGCCCATCTTACTCTTACAACAATGTTGTTGTATATATTTTATTAGTAACAAAAATTTGGGAACTGCACAAATAATCCAACATTTAGTTTGAACAATCTTTAGTTGTAATTTTTCTGTGAGCTTTATAAAAACAACTAAGATTTCATCTCTGTGTTTTGGCGCATTAGATGCTTCAGCTCAATGGTGTAGCAAAAAATAATTTTCACTATCATTATATTTTCTTTAATGTCATGTCCTTCTAAAGGTTTTCATTTATATAAACATCCCAGTGTGGGATGGGGGGTTGCGGCTACACCCCGGACCTGTGAATATAATGGCCCAGAGAGGGTTAAAAAGTCAATGGTCTACATCAATGTCAAAGAAACATATAGCAACATAAAAAAAAGGAAAACAAAAAATACATAATATCAAGTCCTCATAATAGGTCGTCCCGGCCAGAGTGGCCTAACATGGGATCCAAAACGACAAGTCTAGTCAGGGTCAGGTGGTGGCCATCGTCTGAATCTGAAGGATGGGTACTCTAGCTGGTCCATCCGAATGAGCGTCCGAAGCGGGAGGGGAATGTCCTCAGGATGAAGGATGCGTCTCTGGGGTATAGATGCCCCCGTGCTAGCAAGGAAATAAGTGGGCCGATTCCCCTCTCGGAAAATGTGTGAGACCTGGTAATGGATCGAGCGGAGGGAGTCTCTGATGCGCATAAAGGGATGTTTGATCTGCAATGAGCCCTAGTGGCCAGATGTCAAAAGTGTGATGACAGCTGCAGCATCCATCTCTATCCTGATATGGGAAAAGATTGAGACGACAATCTCAAGACCAATCTGGAGCGCCTGAATCTCTGGATCATAACTCGAGGAGGCCAGGCAGGGACCATGGAAGGCAAAAATGAGTGCCCCATCATGATCCCTAATCAGGCCCCCTCCTCCAACGGCTCCGGTATGTCTGTCGAATGCGCCATCAGTGTTTAGCTTAACCCAAGGCGCCTTGGGTTTCAGCCAAACAACGATCCCGGGACGTGGGTGCTGGACAGGTAAAGGAGGCGGTGGCCTCAAACGGTGGGGCGGTTTACAACCTGTCCAGTCTCTCGTCATGAGTCTACCCAGGGCGGTGAGGAGAGAGAGGTGTTTGTCAACCTGCAAAATGATGTGAGCACAAGAAAATATAATATCCCTATGCTTCGAGTTATTCCTTTCTGTACAGGTGGCCATAGGATCAGACAAGGAATAAGGAAGCCCGCGTGTCTAATGTGTGTGCAGTGTGAGAAAAAACTCAAGAGCTCAAAAAAGATGTTTGTAGTGGGTAGGGGTATATGAGTATATCTGGCATAGTGCTCCCACACTCTCCTCACAATCTCAGTCTTAAGGAAAAGATGGATGAAAGTCTCGATCTCAAATGTACCGGTCTCAGCACAACAATGGCAACGGGAGGGGAAGGAGAACCCTCTCGCCTGCATCACAGTGTCAATGAGAATGCGCCGTAATAAGAGACGCCACAGAAAGACGGAAATGGTCGCGGTGAGAAGGTCGGTCCAGATGGCCCCGAAGAGGAAGTTAGGCCAGTTTCTCATCCTCACATCTCCCCAAGTCGATGACGTAGACAATGCACCTGAAGATGTAAGTCTCTACCTCATGCCGTTCAAACCTCCCTCCAGAATAGGAATCTGTCGGATCTGGTCAATCTTTAGTCTACTGAAACCCCCACCCTCACCAAGAATATCCTCCATCTTATCTCTATCCCAGAAACCCCCCGTCCAAAGGTCCTTCACCTGCATGAAAGGCAGGTGAGTGACCGGCCTAGTACTCGAAAGAGGGGACTCGTCAAACCACCACTCATCATAAAAGCTAACCTCCCCAGAACCCAAGGTCCAAAATATGTGCTTCTGAGCAAGCCTGCCAGTAATGGTGAGCCGTCTCCACTGTCGACTATCCCGAGCAGTGGTTGTCACCCTGCAAGGTTGGGCAGCCCCACCAGGGCAATATTTCTTCAGGAGGTATTGGGCCCAAAGGGACTTGCCCTCCCTAAGGCGCCACCACATCCTGTAGAAAAACGCAGTAACAACATCAAAGAAAAGCTGAATCTCGAGCCCACCCTCAGAATGGGGACGACATATGGAATCCCACTTAACACAGTGGGTCTGCCATCAGCCCCGCGAGCCCCCATGGCTCCATAAATAGTGGGCTAAGATCTGATCTAACTCATGAATCGTAGACTAATAGGGATCAAGAACCGCGAGAGGGTGGAGGGAAAGGGCACAAAGAGTGCTCTTGATCAGAGCAAGTCGGCCGCCGAAGGATAGGTGTCTGATTGACCAGCCAGAAATCTGGTCAATCATTTTCTCACGGACGTCGATTAAAAGCTCATGGGAGAGATGGCCCTTGTACAGGGGGGGCCCAAGGTAAGGGATGGGTAAGTCCCCACGAGCGAATCCAGTGCGTTTGTGAATCCGGTGGGCCCAATGGTCTGTAATGTGGTGGTCCGTAATAAAAGTGCTATTACTAACACTGACTAGTTGGCCAGATGTCTCACTGTAGTGGTCCAAAAGACTCATGAGATCTACTAGCCCATTATCATTTGCACGAGTGAAAATGATGATGTCATCCGCATAGAAGATGTGGGAAATGGGAGGCCCACAGCTACGCGTGCTGTAGGTCATCCTCGGAAAGTCGCGAATGAAGCCGTCAAGGCAGCGGGAGAGATAGTCAGCCGCCAGAACAAAAAGGGAGGGGGATAGAGGGTCCCCCTGACGGAGACCGCGGGTAGAAGGGAAAAAGGTCGTGGGACTACCATTAATCAAAACAGAGAACGTGCAGTGCTCCACACACACCTCCACAAAGTTAATCCAACGGTTAGGGAATCCCATCCGAAACAGTACCTCTTTATGAAACGATCACTCGACCCTCTCATATGCTTTAGCCATGTCTAGCTTCAGCACGAGGTTCGGGGTTCGTGTTCGATTCGCATGAGACATATCGTGTATCATCTCCTGAGCCAAAAGGATATTATCACTAATGACTCGATCCATGATGAATCCACTCTGGTACGGAGAGACAAGGTGGGGGAGTAGAGGGGCGAGGCACCTGTTGAGGATCCTAAAGATGATCTTGTTAGTCACGTTGCATAAGCTGATAGGTGTATAGTCAGACCAAGAACTAGGTCCCGATCTTTTCAGGATCAAAATGATGGAGGTTGCTGTGAAGGACTCTGGCATCTTGTGGCCAGAGAAGAAATCCCTCACAGCTTCCTCTACGTCAGTTTCCACAATCTCCCAGCAAGACTGGAAGAAGAGGGATGAAAAACCATCCGGTCCGGAGACGCTGTTGGGATCAATCCCAAACACAGCCTCCCTGACTTTCTCCTTACTCGGGAGGTCACAGAGATCTACCAGATCGACCGACTGCGGAATGGCCGGAAAAAAAAGGGCTAGGTTGAGGTACGTAAGCAAGTCCCGCTCAGTGGAAAAGAGAGAGTGGAAGTAGGCCTTAGCCGACTCTCGTATCTGAGTCTCCTGGGTCACAGATGACCCATTATCTTCAATAATATGGATGTATGACTTGACCCGCTTCTGCCTCACGAATCCCTGGAAAAACTTGGTATTACGCTCCCCCTCAGCCACCCAGCGTACAGCAGCCTTCTGCTTATAGAAATCCTCCTCCATGAGAAGGCGCAACTGGAACTCAGCATGACAACGGCGCATCTCGGACCTATTCTCTGGCGAGGAATCCAGATCATAGATCCATTCGGCCTCCGCATATGCAGTCTGAGCTGCAGTAAGGCGCTGAGAAATATCACCAAAAGTTGTCCAGTTCCACTGTTTCAAAACGCGGCGGAGTCTCCTGAGCTTCTCCTCCAGGTAGCGCATCCCATAGAGGTGCGTAGCCTGCTTCCAAGAAGCTCTAAGAATATCGTATTAAGAATGGTGGCGGACCCACATGTTCTGGAAATGAAAAGGACGCTCGCCGAGGGGATATAGAGAACCTACAACGAATCAGAAGGGGGGCATGGTCGGATCTAATTCGAGGAAGGTGCGTTACAACCGTGGTCGCAAACACCTTTTTCCACGCCTCTGAGTAGAGAGCGCGGTGGAGCCTCTCCTTGACTCCGGCCTTCTCCCACGTAAAGAGAGCCCCTTTGTATCTAGCGTCGATGAGCTCACAATCCGAAACAGCATGTGAGAAATCTAAGATCTCTGCTTAGCGATCCGATACACCACCAATGCGTTCATCGGGATGCAAGAATATGTTGAAATCACCACTAACTATTCACGGTAATCCCTCTATGCTCTCGGCAATCTTAGGCATGGTGTCCCAAAGGTCATAACGACCAACCCTCGCATAGCTGGCGTAAACCAAGGTGTGGAAGATCGGTTCCGGAAGGTGGGCGGCAGTGACCTTTACGTGCAAGACCTTATCAGTATCTCGAAGGATCTGACAAGTAAAGTCACGCGAGTGGAAAAACCAAATCTTGTTTGAGGTATTGCCCATCCCGGCATGAAAGCCAAAGCGGCGCGAGTATACGTCAAAGGAGGGGTCATGAGTCATGGGTTCTAAAAAGGCTGCAAAGTCAAGGTTATGCTCACGGATGAGAGATTTAACATGAGCAAAGGTTTTTCTATTAGCCAGACCAGGGGCATTCCAAGTAAGCGATGTGACTGACATGTCAAACGTCAGTGTATCCGCCTAACTGGAGCTGTCCGAGGTTAAGCTATGTATGTGTGTTTGATAGAGATAGAACTCGGCTAGTAGAGAGCTGCGCAGTCATCGATCTGGTATGTGGTCTTCGGTGCTCTGGGATCTCCTGGGAAGAGCCCTCTCGCATCGGGGGAAACTCCTGTGGTAGGAGGATGAGCTATAGGTGCTCCAAGCCATCGGAGCTCTGTGCCTGGCCCTATGGGGAAGATGGACCAGACTCGATAGCGGGGGGTGAGGGGGAAATAGAAGGAAGGGTCAGAAGGGGTCGAGCTGGTGGGCAAAAGAGAGGCTCAGGCTCAGACAATGAGGTCTCTACGATCATGAGAGCTGCGGAGGAAGAGGAGCCTCGATACACAATGGGATGGAAGGAAACTCTATCTCATCCACTAGTAGATCATCATCATCAAAAGGAGAGTTGGTCGATGCTCCCAGGTGGTCGGAGGAAATGTGAAACTCCTCCTCCGACTCCGAGTCAAGCACAGAGAAGCGAGAATGAGTAGCTATGGGAGCTGACTGGAGAGACGGGTGGGGGAAAAGGCTTGTAGCTATGACCTTAGGCCTATCGAGGTTAACCTCCTTGGGTTGTGCGCCCTCAAAGGTGACCTTGCCTTTGCCCTTTTGTCCTTTCGGATCGGGGCCGTGGGCCGGGGCCTTGCCCTTCTCCTTAGGGCTCCTCGGGGCGATAGTAGAACCCTGCCTCGCTACACGTCGATGGGGGGGCAGATC